CACTTTTGTGAGATACTGTATGTTACAAACTCTCCCACCTACAGATAGAACCCAGCATTACCTTGTGGGTGCTGGAAAGGGGGCAGTATGTCAAGTTCAACAACAACATCCCTCCTCTGTGTACATCTAGCTGGTTCCCCCTCAAGGAACTGGCATCTCTCCAGTGCTATTCGCCACATACACCAATGACATGAGAGGCTCCGACGGGGACTGCTTGGCAGTGAAATATGCAGATGACACAGCATTTGTCGACCTCTCAGATGACACAATGCATTTCCAAACAGAAGGAAACAGGGTTCATGACTGGTGCAATAACAACTACCTTACACTAAACAGCAACAAAACAACTGCACAATGATTTCCGGAGGAAGGCAGATCCAGTGAGCCACCTAGTCCTGGATGGTGAAGCGGTAGAGTGGGGAGTTAAAGTGGGGAAAAAAAGTATTTAGTCAGCCACCAATTGTGCATGTTCTCCCACTTAAAAAGATGAGAGAGGCCTGTAATTTTCATCATAGGTCCACGTCAACTATGACAGACAAAATGAGGAAAAACAATCCAGAAAATCACATTGTAGGATTTTTTATGAATTTATTTACAAATTATGGTGGAAAATAAGTATTTGGTCAATAACAAAAGTTTTTCAATGCTTTGTTATATAGCCTTTGTTGGCAATGACACAGGTCAAACGTTTTCTGTAAGTCTTCACAAGGTTTTCACACACTGTTGCTGGTATTTTGGCCCATTCCTCCATGCAGATCTCCTCTAGAGCAGTGATGTTTTGGGGCTGTCGCTGGGCAACACAGACTTTCAACTCCCTCCAAAGATTTTCTATGGGGTTGAGATCTGGAGACTGGCTAGGCCACTCCAGGACCTTGAAATGCTTCTTACGAAGCCACTCCTTCGTTGCCCGGGCGGTGTGTTTGGGATCATTGTCATGCTGAAAGACCCAGCCACGTTTCATCTTCAATGCCCTTGCTGATGGAAGGAGGTTTTCACCCAAAATCTCACGCTACATGGCCCCATTCATTCTTTCCTTTACACGGATCAGTCGTCCTGGTCCCTTTGCAGAAAAACAGCCCCAAAGCATGATGTTTCCACCCCCATGCTTCACAGTAGGTATGGTGTTCTTTGGATGCAACTCAGCATTCTTTGTCCTCCAAACACGACAAGTTGAGTTTTTACCAAAAAGTTATATTTTGGTTTCATCTGACCATATGACATTCTCCCAATCCTCTTCTGGATCATCCAAATGCACTCTAGCAAACTTCAGACGGGCCTGGACATGTACTGGCTTAAGCAGGGGGACACGTCTGGCACTGCAGAATTTGAGTCCCTGGCGGCGTAGTGTGTTACTGATGGTAGGCTTTGTTACTTTGGTCCCAGCTCTCTGCAGGTCATTCACTAGGTCCCCCCGTGTGGTTCTGGGATTTTTGCTCATTGTTCTTGTGATCATTTTGACCCCACGGGGTGAGATCTTGCGTGGAGCCCCAGATCGAGGGAGATTATCAGTGGTCTTGTATGTCTTCCATTTCCTAATAATTGCTCCCACAGTTGATTTCTTCAAACCAAGCTGCTTACCTATTGCAGATTCAGTCTTCCCAGCCTGGTGCAGGTCTACAATTTTGTTTCTGGTGTCCTTTGACAGCTCTTTGGTCTTGGCCATAGTGGAGTTTAGAGTGTGACTGTTTGAGGTTGTGGACAGGTGTATTTTATACTGATAACAAGTTCAAACAGGTGCCATTAATACAGGTAACGAGTGGAGGACAGAGGAGCCTCTTAAAGAAGAAGTTACAGGTCTGTGAGAGCCAGAAATATTGCTTGTTTGTAGGTGACCAAATACTTATTTTCCACCATAATTTGCAAATAAATTCATAAAAAATCCTACAATGTGATTTTCGGGAAAAAAAAATCTCAATTTGTCTGTCATATTTGACGTCCATGATGAAAATTACAGGCCTCTCTCATCTTTTTAAGTGGGAGAACTTGCACAATTGGTGGCTGACTAAATACTTTTTTTCCCCACTGTAAGTACCTGGGAACCATCATGGACAGCACACTCAATACAAACACTCAGAACATCAATTTAAAAAATGCCAATAACGACTGTACCTCCTGCGCAGACAGACAACTGAATGTCAACACCACAATACTTTCCAACTACACTGAACAAAAGTATAAAACAACATGGTGGTCCTCTGTAGCTCAATTGGTAGAGCATGGCGCTTGTAACGCCAGGATAGTGGGTTCGATCCCCGGGACCACCCATACGTAAAAATGTATGCGCACATGACTAAGTCACTTTGGATAAAAGCGTCTGCTAAATGGCATATTATTTATTATGTTTCATGAGCTGAAATAGAAGATACCAGAAATTGTCCATACGCACAAAAAACGTATTTCTCTCAAATGTTGTGCACAAATTTGTTAACTTCCCTGTTAGTGAGCATTTCTCCTTTGCCAAGACAATCCATCCATCTGACAGGTGTGGCATATCAAGAAGCTAATTAAACAACATGATCATTGCACAGTTGCACCTTGTGCTGGGGACAATAAAGGCCACTAAAATGTGCAGTTGTGTCACACAAAACAATGCCACAGATGTCTAAAGTTTTGAGGGGGCGTGCAATTGGCATGCTGAATGCAGGAATGTCCAACAGAGCTGTCGCCAGAGAATTTAATGTTTATTTCTCTACCATAAGCGACTCCAACGTCGTTTTAGAGAATTTGGCAGTACGTCCAACCGGCATCACAACCGCAGACCACGTGTAACCACACCAGCGCAGGACCTCCACATCCGGCTTCTTTACTTGCGGGGTAGTCTGAGACCAGCCACCCAGACAGCTGATGAAACTGTGGGTTTGTACAACCAAAGAATATCTGGACAAATTGTCAGAAACCGTCTCAGGGAAACTCATCTGCGTGCTCGTCATCCTCACCAGGGTCTTGACCTGACTGCAGTTCGGCATCTTAACTGACTTCAGTGGGCAAATGCTCACCTTCGATGACCACTGGCAGCTGGAGAAGTGTGCTCTTCACAGATAAATCCTGGTTTCAACTTTACCGGGCAGATGGCAGTATGGCGTTGTGTGGGCGAGCGGTTTGCTGATGTCAACGTTGTGAACAGAGTGCCCCATGGTGGCGGTGGGGTTATGGTATGGGCAGGCATAAGCTACGAACACAATTGCATTTTATCGATGGCAATTTGAATGCACAGAGATACCGTGACGAGATCCTGAGGCCCATTGTCGTGCCATTCATCCGCCGCCATCACCTCATGTTTCAGCATGTTACAAGTCAGACTTAAAGCCGTACAAGCCATGTCACAAGAATCAATTCCTGGAAGCTGAAAATGTCCCAGTTCTTCCATGGCCTGCATACTCACCAGACATGTCACCCATTGAGCATGTTTGGGATGCTCTGGATCGACTTGTACGACAGAGTGTTCCAGTTCACGCCAATGTCCAGCAACTTTGCACAGCCACTGAAGAGTGGGACAACATTCCACAAGCCACAATCAACAGCCTGATCAACTCTATGCAAAGGAGATACATGAGGCAAATGGTGGTCACACCAGATACTGACTGGTTTTCTGATCCATGCCCCTACCTTTTTTAAAAGGTATTTGTGACCAACAGATGCATATCTGTATTCCCAGTCATGTTAAATCCATAGATTGGGGCCTAATGAATATATTTCAAATTGACTGATTTCCTATATGAACTGTAACCAGGGCCTAAAATTAACACCAGCCACCTGCCAAATGCAGGTAGATTTTGGCATTGGCGGGAAAGATGTCTATTTCACCAGCCACGTTGGCGCGTGGTCAGGGCTCCACAGTGCGAGCATGTCACTCACATTTGTTTATAAAAATTAGTCAAGTACGATCACATTTATAGTAAAATGAATGCTACAGTAGCTGTTTAAAGTATTTCCGCCTTTTTGTTTCATAGCTGGTAAATGAATCGCACAAAGTAAAATAACTACGACCCCAATATAGCCTGTACCACCTCACATTGCAACACCGTCTGGCTGGGGGCTGTGCGCACGTGAAGAGCGGAGTGAAAGACACATTTTTAGAAGTACTGCGCAAAGGCATAAAAGTTGGTATAATTTACTTGAAACCAAAGTCTACTGAAGTGAGACTTTGTGTTTGTTGGCTGTTGACATTATTTTGTTCAGAAGCTAGGTTGTTTTTCTATGTTTGAGTTTCAACTGCTGGGTAAGAGAAGACAACACTTCTTTCTACTTGTCAGGATCAATCACACTGGCACAAACGTGACTTGAGTCGCGCTAACGCCATAACCTCACACATTTAAAGGGGCAGGTGAAAATGTTTGTCTCAACTGTGATATTTTGGTTAAAAGACTCAGGTCACAATATATTAAATTAAATAATATATCACATTACTTCTTACTAATAATACATTTACTGTTCTAGAACCATTACAAAGCATGCTCATCTGTTTTTGTGTTTTGTTGGTGTCATTTTAGCGGGGAAAAAATCTGAGTGGCTGGTAGATTTTTTTGATTTACCTGCCACAGTAGCTGGTGGACAAAAAAGCAAATGTTATGCCCTGACTAACTCTTCGAAATTGTTGCATTTCACGTTTATACTCATGTTCAATGTACTACACCTGCCATATAGAGAGGGTGCTGACTTTCAGTTTCCTGGCCTGGTACGGTGGGTTGTCAGTGGCTAATAAGGGTATCCTCAGGCGGACTGCGAACCTTGGGTCGAAGCTCTGTGGGCTGCAGTGCAGGGGGCTTCAGGGCCTCTATGATAAACGGGCAAGGGAGAAGGCCAAGCACATCAGAGGACCCCACACACAATCTTGCCCAATGTTTTGAGCTGCTGCTCTCCGGAAGGAGATCAAGGGTCCCACTGTTCAGCAAGAATTGGTGCATTTTCCATGTAAAGGGACAATAAAGTAAATTGTATCGTTACGAAATAGCAAAACAGACTGGCCTGTTGGTGATACCACATGGCTGCCAACATGTGGCTTAGGGCCATGTGGCACTACTCACCATGAACTTCTGCACGCTGATGGGGAAGGTGGCAGAGTAGAGCAGGATCTGACGGCCCTTGGCCAGGAAGCTAATGATATCCTCAATGAGCACCACAAAGTCCTGAGACAGCAGCTTGTCCGCCTGAGAAGAAGACAAAACATTAAATGGAGAATTAGCAGAGTCACACAGCATTCTGAAAAGTATGTTTTACTCTCGTGTATTTCTATTACATTTGCTATTACTGGTATGCAATTGACATTTGGCGCTGGTTGCTTGGGAAAATGTTCCATGTAGCTCCTTTACTAAATGTCTTCACTGACATTTTCAACATGTCCCTGATTGAGTCTGTAATACCAACATATTTCAAGCAGACCACTATAGTCCCTGTGCCCATGAACACTAAGATAACCTGTCTAAATGACTACCGACCCATAGCAATCACATCTGTAGCCATGAAGTGCTTTGAAAGGCTGGTCATGGCTCACATCAACACCATTATCCCAGAAACCCTAGACCCACTACAATTTCCATACCGCCCCAACAGATCATGGAATCTCTATTGCACTCCACACTGCCCTTTCTCACCTGGACAAGAGGAACACCTACGTGAGAATGCTATTCATTGACTACAGCTCAGCATTCAACACCATAGTGCCCTCAAAGCTCATCACTAAGCTAAGGATCCTGGGACTAAATACCTCCCTCTGCAACTGGACCCTGGACTTCCAAACGGATGGTAACAACACATCTGCCGCGCTGATCCTCAACACGGGGGCCCCTCAGGGGTGCGTGCTCAGTCCCCTCCTGTACTCGCTGTTCACCCATGACTGCATGGCCAGGCACGACTCCAACACCATCATTAAGTTTGCCGACGACACAAGTGGTAGGCCTGATCACCGACAACGATTAGACAGCCTATAGGGAGGAGGTCAGAGACCTGGCCGTGTGGTGCCAGAATAACAACCTCTCCCTCAACGTGACCAAGACAAAGGAGATGATTGTGGACTACAGGAAAAAGAAGAGGACTAAGCACGCCCCCATTCTCATCGACGGGGCTGTAGTGGAACAGGTTGAGAGCTTTAAGTTCCTTGGTGTCCACATCACCAACAAACTATCATGGTCCAAACACACCAAGACAGTCGTGAAGAGGGCACGACAAAGCCTATTCCCCCTCAGGAGACTGAAAAGATTTGGCATGGGTCATCAGATCCTCAAAAAGTTCAACAGCTGCACCATCGAGAGCATCCTGACTGGTTGCATCACCGCCTGGTATGGCAACTGCTCGGCCTCTGACCGCAAGGCACTACAGAGGGTAGTGCGTACGGCCCAGTACATCACTGGGGCAAAGCTTCCTGCCATCCAGGACCTCTATACCAGGCGGTGTCAGAGGAAGGCCCTAAAAATTATCCAGAAGACTCAAGCCACCCTAGTCATAGACAGTTCTCTCTACTACCGCACGGCAAGCGGTAACGGAGCGCCAAGTCTAGGTCCAAAAGGCTTCTTAACAGCTTCTACCCCCAAGCCATAAGACTCCTGAACAGCTAATCATGGCTACCCTGACTATTTGCATTGTCCCCCCTCACCCCACCCCCTCTTTAATGCTGCTGCTACTCTGTTTATTATCTATGCATAGTCACTTTAACACTACCCACATGTACATATTACCTAAATTACCTCGACTAACCGGTGCCCCCGCACATTGACTCTGTACTGGTAACCAATGTATATAGCCTCCCTGCTGTTATTTTATTTTACTGCTGCTCTTTAATCATTTTTTACGTATCTATTTTTTACTTAACACCTTTTTTCTTACATTTTTACAATTAATCATTGTTGGTTAAGGGCTTGTAAGTAAGCATTTCACTGTAAGGTCTAGACCTGTTGTATTCGGCACATGTGGCAAATTCAATTTTATATGATTTGATTTATTTAACCTCTTTGGTAGGTTGATGAACCAGAAGAGATTTGAAGGCCCTGATGAAGAATATTGAGTGGCTAGTAACAACATAGCGAGAGAGGACTGATTCTCTGGAGTCATCTACAGTAGTTTATTATAGTCAGTGGTTGATGGACTCATGTACCACATGTATTCACACACTAACCTCATCCATCACCATCATCTGGACTCTATCCACTTTGGCCACGCCCTTCTTGATCAAGTCCAGGATCCTGCCGGGTGTGGCTATGACCACATGCACTGAGAGAGAGAATCAGAAACACCACCATTACAGATGTGGCTTTGTGTACAGCTTTGAGGTTTTGTGACTTGTTTGTAGTGTACAGTGTGGTCCGAAATGATTGACACCCTTGATGAAGATGAGCAAAAACGACTATCAAATAAATCATTCAAATACGGAGCTACGCTATATATACACACATACAGTGCATTCGCAAAGTATTCAGACCACCTTCCCTTTTCCCACATTTTGTTACGTTACAGCCTTATTCTAAAATCGATTAAATAAAACATTTTCCTCAATCTACACACATTACCCCATAATGACAAAGCGAACAGTTTTTAAAACAAATTTTGCACAAGAAAGTAAAAAAATCGAACAGAAATACCTTATTTACTAAAGTATTCAGACCCTTTGCTATGAGAATCAAAATTGAGCTCAGGTGCATCCTGTTTCCATTGATCATCCTTGAGAGGTTTCTACAACTTGGGAGTCCACCTGTGGTAAATTCAATTGATTGGACATGATTTGGAAAGGCACACACCTGTCTATATAAGGTCCCACAGTTGACAGTGCATGTCAGGGCAAAAACCAAGCCATGAGGTCGAAGGAATTGTCCGTAGAGCTCCGAGATAGGATTGTGTCGAGGCACAGATCTGGGGAAGGGTACCAAAACATTTCTGCAACATTGAAGGTCCCCAAGAACACAGTGGCCTCCATTATTCTTAAATGGAAGAAGTTTGGAACCACCAAGACTCTTCCTAGAGCTGGCCGCCCAGCCAAACTGAGCAATTGGGGTAGGTCCTTGGTCAGGGAGGTGACCAAGAACCCGATGGTCACTCTGACAGAGCTCCAGAGTTCCTCTGAAGAGATGGGAGAATCTTCCAGAAGGACAACCATCTCTGCAGCACTCCACCAATCAGATCTTTATGGTAGAGTGGCCAGACAGAAGACACTCCTCAGTAAAAGGCACATGAGAGCCCGCTTGGAGTTTGCTAAAAGGCACCTAAAGACTCTCAGACCATGAGAAACAAGATTCTCTGTGATGAAAGTAACAAAATGTGGAAAAGGTCAAGGGGTCTGAATACTTTCCGAATGCACTGTATTTATCGCAAGGTACCATTTTTGGTATGAAGTAACTGAATGTGATGCTGCTGTTGGGTCATTACCAGTCTCGTCCAGGCGCATGATGTCATCTCGCAGGTTGGTGCCGCCCGTTGTGGCCATGACTTTCACTCCGCCCAGGTGCTTACTGATCTGGATAGTGATCTGGCTAACCTGCAGGGCCAGCTCACGAGTGGGCACCATCACAATAGCTTGGGAGAGAGGGAGAGGTATAGATAGGGCAAGTGCAAGACAATGTGGTTTGACAGAGGGGGAGAGAAAGTAGGAAGAAGGGTACAGTTTGAAAGATGATAGGAAGTTGAGTCATAGAGTAACAGTAGTAGTAGCAGGAGGGCTCCAGACAGCAACCATTTAGTCGCATTTTGCGACCCTTTGACTTGGCTGTGCAAGTTAAAGTAACTATCCAGTCAATGTTCCCTCTAAGCTGCGCGCCCACGCACAGTATCCCCGGGACTGCAGCGGATGGAGAGAAGCACCAGATTGAACTTCACTCAACTTTCTAGAGTTTTCCCCGTTAACACTATCAACATACCGAAACAAAACGAACTATGCAAGATTTAGCATGCAAATGTAACTATGCAAGATATTTTGATGTAGACAGAACGCATCGGAGCAGGATTCTATTGCATTGACAGACTCATCCCATACTCTACACAGACCGGTGCGGCATAACCAATCAGAGCAGCAGTAGGCCTATATGCAAATAGACTATTACCATATATGGATCTGTTCCATTTACATTGAACTGGACTGTTTACAGCGTGAGCGGTCATGAGCAGATGCGCTTGTTTTGAGATGTAGCCATGTGTGCACATTTAGTTAATTTTCTTTGCTAGTTAGTGAGTTATTAGCCCAGTTATATATATTTGTAGTCAACAATAGGGGAGTGAGGGCTTCCTACAAGAGCACAAAACCTGTACATTTCTAGACATCTTTGAAAAGCAAGTCAGGTAAAGAGCATTTTTTTTGTCTTAAAGGGGCAGTGTTGTATTTTGAGACTGTCTTGAATAAAGTAAGTAGCCAATAAGCAGAGGGTAGCATAATTTATCTGATTCTCTGTAATAATGGTATGGGAAGTTGTTTCCTGCATCAAACAACATTTTCAGTCACCTTGTCTGAAGGACAAGTGGATAAACAGGTTAATGTCAAGCCCTGCATGATTTTTTTTTTCTTTCAAAAGTCTCATGGAATGTAGGCCTACATTGAACACCACACATTTGCTGCTAATGTAGGCTGAATGATAGAAGAGTTATTTCCTTGGTAAAATGTTATGGGAAGCATTTTCTCCATTGTCTTTGATGGTAGGTCACTCCTGCAGGCCTACATTTTGATCAAATGGCCACTGTTAAAACTAACTTAAATTGTTTTGAGGGAACAGTGTGTCCAGTGCTTCCATATTTCATTGAAATATGACCTAGAAATACTTACTATGGTAAAAAGCAGCTTTTATGTGTTGGAATGGTGTGGGCGTACCCCAACAGAATGGTATGGGCGTATACCAGTCATAAAAAAATATTCATGCAAGTATACCGCTGATTGGCCAGCTCATCCTCTTCGGGAGTATGACATACTCCATGAGGAAATAGCAAGCATTTTTGAAACAGTCTGTTTGATATACAAGTTTGAGGAGGGTTTTTAAAAAGTATTTTTCTCCAATTTATGCTTTGGCCACAAATACGAGTATAGGATGAGTCAACAACATGATTTGGTTAAGCAGTAAGTACATTATCCTCATGATTCCTGTAATGAAAGTGTTTGCCCTGACGCTCTGCCTGTTTCCCTGGGGCCCACTGCTGTGATGAGCAAGCCACCCTCCCTGCCTCTCCCACTTTGCTCTGGGTGAGAAAAACATTTTAATTGTATAACAAATTCAAAATCCAATTCCAGGAAAAACAGTTATCCTGTGTAACACTTGTCACAGTTGAAGAGAGGAGGTTCTCAGTTTCTGTTGGTATACTTTTTATTTCTCAACTCTCCATTTTTAGCTCTATAGCAATTATTTTACAACCGAGATATTAGATATAGCTTTGAGATATGGAGTGTGCGAAATGTGCATTGACCATTACGAGAGCATGGGCCTGATTGGGAAGTAGGCTACGACTGTAAAGTTATTTTTAGGACATTAAAATGTATTGTTATGCTTAATATGGCTACTATTATATTTAAGTTAGCGATCTAGCTAATGTGTTTTGAGTTTCCACTTACTCATGTGGTGAATTGGTCCCAAATAAATTAGCCTATATTAGCGCACATAAAGATGTAGGCAAATTCATCTCTATTGAAAAAATAATAATTCTGGAGTCCTATTTTAACAGTAAAATGTAACAATAGCCTTAATTGTCAACCCAAAATCCATGACAATCACAGGATTAGCTCGTACATGAAAATATCTGGAATCACGCATTCCTGCTTAAACATGTTAGATGAAACATATAACTTGAATACCTTCTCAGTAGTCTATAACACTTTTTTAAAAAGCACTGTGAATGACATAAGACTATTAGAAATGTTATTGGTGATGGCCTGGTGCCACCAACTGAAAAAGGGGAAAATGTTAGTCTGGTGCCCGGAGGAGGAGGAGTAGTAGTAGTAGTAGTAGAGACAAGTCGAGTATAAAAGGAGGGAAAGAGTAAAGTGAAGAGCCTTGACTCACCCTGTATATAGTCCTTCTTCAGGTCTATTCTCTCCAGCATGGGGATGAGGTAGGCCCCACTCTTCCCTGTTCCATTCTTGGCACGGGCCAGGATGTCTCGTCCTGACAGGGCTATGGGAATGCTCTCCTCCTGAAAGTGACAAACTCTAGTTTAATGTATTTTTAATCAAAAACTGCATGGCTATTACCAAAATATGTAACTATGACTATGCCAAAGTACAAAAGCTAAGTCCAAAGACTGTTCAGGTATAACTTAAAAGACGCAGTCCGGGATCGTAAGCTCAACAAATTCGCAACATATTGTACGAATTTTTGCAGGAGGTAACATATCATACGAAATGTACACAACTGGATAACACAGAACACAAAAAACAGGGACCCACTTTGGCTCTTGAGCACCACTTTCAAAACTACTGGTTGAAATTATACAGAAGTTCTGGAGCATCACTTTAAAGTAGCTTTATAGGTTATAGGCACAAGAAGCAGGAGCCAATTTACAGCAAGGGAATCCCCCAGTTTCAAAAGGTGATCTGTGGGCAGAGACGCTTCCAGTGAGTGTCGTACCTGGATAGGGGAGGGCTTCTCCCAGCCCATCTCAAAGATGCCCATCAGGAGCTCCCGTTTCAGACAGTAGTCCTCAAACTCATTCCCCTTAGTGGACGTCACATCCTGGGACACAGAACGAAAGAGGTTAGACAACAGAAGTAACATAATTGATTAAAATGACACTGGGAGAATCCTGTGTGCTAGTGAAAAATCATGCTGCATTGTACCATGACTTACAGAGGTTCTGACCCTGGTGTCTTTGGGAGGGAGCTGTAGCCTCTTTTTCCAGTCATCTCCAAACCTAACGTAGGGCAGCAAAGAGAGAAGAGAGCAAAACAAAATCTGTGTCATCAGTTCTAAAACCTGGTATGAAAGTATAATAAACTATATGAGCAGAACACAATTGTTTCAGTCACTGGGTGAAACGGGGTGTAAGAGAGAAATGTGTACCTAATCCCAGTTCCCTCCTGGGCAGCACCCGCTTTCTGGGGTGCACCTGTGGCCTTGTCTGACAGAGAGCCCAGGACAAGGGGTCCTGATTGGGTAGAGGCCGGTTTAGGCCTAAGCTGCCCGTTCTGCTTGTTCAGTCCCATGACGACAGGGCCAAGGTTCTCTGTTCTGGCAGTTGCCATTTCTTCTTTCCTTTATTTTTATTCTCAAAGATTTACGTATTTTACCCCTCAGTTTTTTTTCTTCCTTAAAAAGCCTCTTCAAAAGTAGATGAGTCTAATAAAGCATTAACAAATAATATCTTATTTTTAGTCCAAAGCATTTACAACAGAAGTCTATTTGTAGTTTTCACATTTACACGTATGTGCAGTTCGGTCCCCTTCAACAGAGTTTACTGACGTATGAAAAAAAAGTATTTATACAAGAGCTCTTCCAAATGAAGAGATATATGCATTCAAATGCATAAATATAGAAACCTGCACACAATATAGAAAATTATATGTGAACAAGTATCAAGGAGTTTAATTCCTGCAATACAACTGCTAAGACAATTTGAACCGGGGGAATAGTATCTGTAATATAATCTTTGTTCAAACGTTAAATGTTGTTCAAACGTTAAATGTATCTGTTTTTATTTCCTTGTTTTGCATCAAGTCCCTTTGAATTGCTCAACATCGATGTCCTTGGAAATGATTTTTCAAACCTTTGTACAAATATTTATTCAAAATAATATGGTCCTTATTGTTCAACATTTGTTTTCCACTCTGTGTGTATATGTCCATCCACGTGTTAAAGTAGTTTCCTGACGTTGAAAATCAAACAAGGGATAACTGTAGTCCAAAAGCAAAACAGCTTTAAGTTCCCCTTGGGCTCCTCTTGGTCTGTCCCCTCTGCTCCAGGTGAGTCTCCCTCCTCTCTCAGGTCTTCTGTCAAAGTGTGTAGCTATGTGTGTGAGTGGGGGTGTATTCAGCTCATTTCGTACGCAGCAACTCAAACTTGTGCCTCCTGACAGGAAGAAGGAGAGTAGAGGGAGAATTTTATTTTATAAGTAAAGTCAGAGTGAATACTATATAAGCCCTAGACTTTGCTTTAAAACTGCCTAATACAATGTAGAATAGATGCCCAAACGTTCTATTCAAATCCCCAACTACATCATGTCAAAAATGTATTCGGCAGGCAGGCACAAGGTAAAATTGCTTTTCTAGTGTTGGGTTGGTGGATCAGTCTGTAATGTATTCCAACCAATTCGTGTATGGCATGACCACAGAAGAGTTGCCTACACTACAAGTGCATACATGGGACCAGACCATAGAAGAGAGTAACGTTAGGCTATAATGTCAACAATGTGGGACTCATAGCTACTTTATAGCCGTAATCACGTGCGAAGTTTTGAAGTTACTTTGAGGAAATTAGCTAACGTTAACTAGAAGCATCTGAATTTAAATATAAGTTAATTGCATATGTATGGACAAACAAACACGCGACTGGCATTAGCTAGCTAGCTAACGTTAACGAACAATTAGGATGCCCTTATCGGCCAAATAAAGGTAAAAAGCCAGCTAATGTTACCAGTCAGTAGTTAGCTAACTTACCTCAATTGTGGCAACTACGAAAAGTGATTCAAACCTAACTAATCGCGATTTGAGTTGGTGCTATAAAGGCCATTCATCTTGCCAACTTCAGAGGAAGATATTTAGTTAGCCAGTTAACTTATATTGCTAGATACCTAATGACGTTAGCCACTTCAGCTTCAGACATAAACATGCAAGTTGGCTAGTAAGTTACGTTAGCTAGCTCGCTAAATACTAATTTAGTTAGCTAACTAGGTAGCGTTACATCACTGATGAAAGGGGTTATTATAAACTAGCTAGCCAGTTTAGTTAACTTGGATGGCTAGTAGTGCAGGGGGCTCTCGTTTACCACGTCTGAATGTTAGCTGGCTGGCTAAATTATCTAGCTGACGAGCAAACGTCGACTTTATAAAATCTTTATTATGCAAATTGAATACAACACCACGAAACACTCACCTCTCTCTCACTTTGATGTTATATATCATACATGTTTTCGGCAGATCAATTACTTATTTTATTGTTAGATTAAATTCATTCCAAATAAAACGCTAATTCAACATGGTCGCCTCTTCTTCATCGCCTTCTTCTTCTATGATATCGTGGCGGTCCACAAACAAACTTTTAAAGTCCATGTTGCCACCTACTGTGCTGGAATGTAGGATCAATCATGATCTGCCCAATTATGTACTACCATGAAAAAAACATTCTAAACCAAATAAATCCCTAACACCACCAATTGCAGCACTTAACCTTCACATTGCTTCCACATTCACCGTAATCATGTGCCCCTCCACAGTTGGCACATCTTTTCTTTCCTTTACACTGAGCAGCTACATGTCCCATTCTTTGGCATTTAAAAGACTGCAGTGCATATGGGACAAATTCTCTAACACTGAAGCAAAGGAATCCTATCTGTACTTTTCCCAGCAAGACTTTCTCAAACCTCAGCATCACTGATAAGCTTTCACTTCTTTGACCCTATTTCCTAATGATCAACCTTTTGGCCTCAATCACTCTGCCTCCCTTCACATATATATTGGGACCCCAGTGATGACTCCCCTCAATATAGCATAAGCACCAGGGTCCCAAAAAATAAAACAGATCTTATCCCTACACAGGCTCAAGGGGAACCTGGGTGGGCTGGTCTTCCGGCGCTAGTACATTTACATTTACATTTACGTCATTTAGCAGACGCTCTTATCCAGAGCGACTTACAAATTGGTGCATTCACCCTATAGCCAGTGGGATAACCACTTTACAATATGTTTTTTTTTTTTTTTTGGAGGGGGGGGGGGGGGGGGGGGGGGAGTAGAAGGATTACTTTATCCTATCCCAGGTATTCCTTAAAGAGGTGGGGTTTCAAGTGTCTCCGGAAGGTGGTGAGTGACTCCGCTGTCCTGGCGTCGTGAGGGAGCTTGTTCCACCATTGGGGTGCCAGAGCAGTGAACAGTTTTGACTGGGCTGAGCGGGAACTGTGCTTCCGCAGAGGTAGGGGGGCCAGCAGTCCAGAGGTGGATGAACGCAATGCCCTCGTTTGGGTGTAAGGACTGATCAGAGCCTGAAGGTACGGAGGTGCCGTTCCTCTCAAAGCTCCGTAGGCAAGCACCATGGTCTTGTAGCAGATGCGAGCTTCAACTGGAAGCCAGTGGAGTGTGCGGAGGAGCGGGGTGACGTGAGAGAACTTGGGAAGGTTGAACACCAGACGGGCTGCGGCATTCTGGATGAGTTGTAGGGGTTTAATGGCACAGGCAGGGAGCCCAGCCAACAGCGAGTTGCAGTAATCCAGACGGGAGATGACAAGTGCCTGGATTAGGACCTGTGCCGCTTCCTGTGTAAGGCAGGGTAGTACCCCTTGCAGGGACGGCTTGTTCAATAGGGCGATATGGGCGACGCACTGCCAAACGGGAAAAGGAAGGGATTTTTTTTCTAATCAATTATAATAAAAAAAAAAAAAATAAAAAAAAATATTTTTTTTTTATAAATTTATAAAAAATTATATCACGGCAACAGCAGTTATCAGTGTTCACGTCTGATCTGCCAGCCACTAAATGTCAAATCAGGCTAAAGTCGTGCTTCAAATGGCCCCGCCCGTTTTTTGGGCGATTTCAGTCAGGTTGAAAATCGCCCAGAAGTCTGTCATAGACTCCCATGTAAAATCTAGTTTTGTCACATTTCAAAGCTTTCAATACATTCTCTATGGGTGTCTGTGGGCATGCACTTACGCGCTTTCGTCATACATAACGTAACCACGAATGAACGTAACTAAGAAAAGACCAGGTAGCAGCCTCATTCAATTCACTACTACTATCAAAATGGCTAGGCTTCAGTCCAACTCGATTGTGTCTTTGAAAGAAGTTCCTTTTTGTCGGCGAACAAATGAAGATAAATTGGCAACGAAACAATTAGGACCTCCCAGACCAAATTTAATAATTCAACTGGTGTCTACTAAAGGGGGGAAGTCCTACACCCGAGGATTTTCCAAAAATTGGTATGAACGGAAAACCTGGCTAGCAGGCTGCGATGTAGCTAATGCAGTTTTTTGCTACCCCTGCTTACTCTTCCACCCTGAAGGCGGCACAGCAGACAGCACCGCTTGGACAGCGACTGGTGTAACCGACATGCACCATCTTTCAGAAAAGATTAAGAAAAATTAGCTGTCAAAGACCCACATATAGCTGTTTGAGATTGTCTGCTTTTGGGAGAGTGAATATTGCCACTCAACTGGATGAGGGATACAGGCTAGCTGTCCGCCGCCACAACGATGAGGTTAGCAACAGCAGAGTCGTGAACACTGTCTACGAGAATCGAGACGACCTCATATAATGTTTTGAAGCCATCCGGACGGGTTCATTGGGTTCATTTGACCAGCACACCTTGAGAGAGGCAGCTGGCTACGTGAGGATACTACATGATGAAGATTTAATTTTTTTCCTGCGGCTTTTTCACAAAATCATGCCCCACGTCGACATTCTGTACCAGAAGCTACAGAAGAAGGACATCGATGCTGTCTCTATCAAACGTGCCCTCGACAGCTTCACAAGCAAGTGCAGGCCATAAGGTAAGATTAAACAGATATCAAAAAATGTGGTAAAAGCTCTTGTTGATCCTGCAATCTGAACAAATACCAAGATGCTGTATTTTCAGCTGATATTTCATTTGTTTATGGAAATGCATATTGTTTATGCAGTGTTGAGGAATGTGAAAGAACACCCTTGATTATTTTTACTGTGATAACTTATTTTGCTTTTGTAAGCCAACACTTTTGAGATCAGTCAATAAATGCTTCTGGTATTGACTTATATGCTGCCCCTGTCTTCATGTTGTTGCTGGACATATCTTTTTAAAAATGTGTGTAGGTCACCTAAATCATCAGAAAAATTGCCCTCCCTGAGAATTTGTTCAGGAGCCGCCACTGACCCCTTGCAAGTCTTCAGATGTAAAATCCGTAAGACCCAAAAACCTTTCTGCCGCAGCCACAATAATGTTCACTGTTCACTGCTCTGGCACCAGTTTCTTAGACTTCTTTGCGACTTGTGCCATCCAGTTTATAACTGTGGCAATGAACGCAAAAAAAATCCACCTTTTTAACACACAGGGTATCTTTTGTCTGGAAGCAAACATTTACTACAGGCTGTGGTGTATCCACTACCATATCTTTAATAGCATCACTTGTTTTCTCAATTATTTTGATCGCCTCCGCATAGGAGATTCGATTGACCGCTCGAACTTTTGCCACCTCAATCTCCTTCACCCTAACAGGGCACTCCAGGAACTCAGGATCATGATCCCCACCACAATTGCAACACAGTCATCCTTCTACACACCGTTCTTCAGTATGCTCTGTCGGTCTGCTCACACTTGAAACATGGCCAAATCCTTTACAATTCTTACACTGCAGTGGTTTGGGTACGAAAGCTCTTACAGCGTATTTTACATAACCAAGCTTCACATTAGCTCTTTATCAAAAAACAACAGCACCAACAGACTTTCTTATTTTTCTCCATTCACCCAGCGGGTCAGACGCCAGCCACACCAGGAATTCTCTCAAAAATTCAACCTGAACATCCGTCGTCACCCCTGAAATGACTCCTTTGACGGGTGCTCTACTCCGAAGTTCAAAACACAAAACTTCTGTTGTCCGGATTATTTTGAGGCCACTGCAATCTTCCTCTGTTCTTAAGAAATATAATTAATCAAAATAAGACCACTCCCGGTCACTCTGACAGACTCCACTTTTCCAAGCGCATACTTCACCGTTTTCGACACCTCCTTATTCAACAAATGCATCCCAACAAGAAGCGATTCATTATCATTCATACACATATCCTCCACTCCAATTTGAGACAATTTCCTTTTTGTTCCAGTTTTCGACACTATTGTTGTCCATTCAGAACATTCGTCTTCACCAACTTTGCTCGACGCG